TCAGCACCAAAAACTTTCGAATTGTTGCATTCAAAACATCTATAAATTTTTTTTTGAGGGGGCAGATGATAATTTTCAATTCTATGGGGAGCCGGGCCCCCCTGGACTCCTCTTTCGTACGTCAATGGCAAGGGAGTTAAGCCATTGAAGTCGAGGATGCCCAGAAAGGAGCCTCTTAGCATCCGACAACGGAAGAAAATGAAACACAGTTACTAAAAATATCATTCTCCATATACTCAAAATCTTGAAAATCTCTAAAAAAGTAAGAAAAATTTTATAGTGCCCTAGCGTGTTTTTGAAACTTTATTTACCTTTTACGGAATTTTTAGGGTAATTTTTGCACTTTTCCCTACGAGACAAGGGTTACACATGAATTCGTAGTGGTTTGTCACCTGCGTCACGGGCCCCTCCAGGGCCCGGGCCCCGGTACCAAGGACCCAGTATCCCCCCCCTTGTGGCGGGCCTGTTCACAATCATAGAAGTATATCGTAAAGTCAGGGAGAATATACTGAGTAAAGAATTATTACAAATTCCATTCTATTCTCTAGTTTTAAAAAATATAAATGGTCAAAAATAGTTACGGAGAGTTAAAACAACAAGTATACATATTATTTCTCAGAGAGTTGTGAGATACCCTGGTAAAAATTGGCGATAGGAGCTGCGTTTCAAAATACCATAGGAGCTCTTATAGCCGACAGAAGAAGGCGATAGAAAATCATATAGCTGGCTGTAGAAAGTGGAAAAAATCATACGACCGGGCTACAAGAAGCTATAAAAAATTATACAGCCGGGCTATAGTTCCTATCGCCGGGCTTTACACTTTATCGCCGGGCTTTACACTTTATCGCCGGGCTTTACACTCTATCGCCTGGTTGTTGCTTTTTCGCCATCGGCTATAAAAGGCTATAAGAAATTGTGTAGAAATTCGTGTGTTTTGTAAATCCTTAAGTTTGTACGGAATCACCTTCATATTTACAAAACGCACATTATATTTTCCTTTACTACGTATTTTTTTTCATCAATTAAAATGAGAATAATCCATACAGAGTGTGTGCAAACATTTCAAAGTCATGAGTTGAAAAACGCTGACTCCACAAGCTTAAATAATAGAGCCTAACACAAAGCGGAGCGGCGGCGCACTGGCGCCTACAAACCCAACAGGGATACTTCACGCATTGCGCAATGCGTGAAGTATCCCTGTTAGGTTTGTAGGCGCCAATGCGCGTTTCGCGCTGGCTGCCCGCCCGCCGCGCCGCAGCGTACCACGGCGCTTGAAGCAACTATTTCACACCAGAGGTATTACACAGTATCAAACAAGATTGAAGGCGCTCCAACATATTAGGAATGGCAGGCATCTTTCAAAAGTACGGAGCTTTCCTCGCAAAATAAATCAAGATACTACGGCCCAAAAAAAGAGCGGTAGTCCAAAAACTCACCAAGTCCTAGCATCTGTAATTAGTGACGTTTAGCATACACTTTGTCGCCAGGCTGTTGCTTAATCGCCATCGGCTATAAAAGGCTATAAGAAATTGTGTTGCCGGCTGTAGAAGCTATTGGAAATCTTACAGCCGGCTGTAGGTCTATGGTATTTTGGAACACAGTTTCTACTGCCAATTTTTACCAGGGTATATTTGGGAATATGTTAATTGAGTGTGACGAGAAGGTGTCAAAATGCCATAATTATACTGTGCACCAGCGCTTTAAAAGTGGTTGCGCAGTGTCCTTTTTACCTCTACCCATGGGTCAAAAGTGTAATATTCTCGTTTCAAATAGGCCACAATATGCCTCCCTCAAAGGTGGTCAGCTTATTTTTTTGGGCGCATTTTATGGTCAAAAAACCCAGTCTCGTGGTTCGACCTGTTTTTCCCACATGCATTTAAACTAACATTTGAACTAGAGTTTCGATTGATTTAAGAGTTATTGAAAAATGCTTTAAATTGGCTCAAATTTCAGGGATCTTATTTTATTTTATTTTTTTTTTTCAAATGGAACCAATTGACACCTAGTGACCTAGTGCGCCTACATTTTCCAACGTGATCGAAATAAACCGTATCCCATCGGAACGCTGATACTCAGCTAGAGAGTATACTATGGTTCAAATATGACAGCTTCGAGAAGTGGCTCCATCTCTGTTGCTGAATATAATTTCACGCCTTGTTAGCTCTCAGTTCTTGTAATCTGTAAAGAGGTATGGTAACAACAAACCGCAAACGGATGAGGAAAAGATTTAAAATTAAATCGGAGACAGACCATAAGCCGAGTTTGAGCCTGCTTTTACTTTTACCTTCCCTCCTCCCCCGGCGCCTCAGAAGACGATCAAAGAGCTACGCCGAACGCTTGTTTTACAAGAAGTAAGTATCGAATGGAACCGTGTTTTGCATTTCCGATATTTGCACCCGTAGGCATTATAGTTGGCACCTCTCAGCCGTTAAAGCGGTGCTAAACGTCGTTTTGTTCGAGCATTCCTCATTAAAATGTAAGATTCTAACAATTTACTCACGTATTCTTTTCCTTGCTTCTATGTACGCTTGATTTACAGCTTCGTACGTTATACATGTTTCCGCCCCCAGACCCCTGAAATAAATAAATAAAAATAAAATGTTTATGAAAAATGATGACAATAATCAATCAATTATCTCGTTGATTGTCTGTAAATGATATCCGTGAAGCATTGACTAATCTCAGATTAAGTGAAAATCCCAGTTTTAAACACGTCCTTTTTCTGCTAATGTTTTGAAATAAGAAGATGTATCTGCTGAAATCCCTCCCTTTTATTATAGAAAAAGTTTGCTGATTCCTCTCCGACTGAAGCATACTTTTCAACCAAAAAAAGTGCGTGCCTACCCGCTCACAGCGATAATTATTACTGTTATTTGAATTGAAATCCATTACGAATTCACGGCGACCACCTATGAATCCAAAGATTCAATAATTAAAGACTATTCAGTATTAATCTGTATCAGTTTATTGAAAACAACGTTACTTTTTAGACAAACTGGAGTAAATTTTGGCGAGGAGGGACACGCAAGTAATTTTAAAGAGCTAAATCGAAAAAATCGCTCAATATCATAGTTCCAACGGATCATTATCCGTTTATCTTAAGTAAACGTAACTAAAAACTTTAACTTAATTCTAAGTTAACTTAATTCTAAGTTAACTTAATTCGGTTACGCCCTTTTTCAACGTAACGAGGTTCAATTCCTGCGTATGCGTATGTTCATTAACAACCCAATAATGAAATAAAACAACTTACTCAGGTCCTCCTTTGACTGTATTGAAATTGATGTCGAAAGAATTGTGATTCTCTCTGTTAAGTCTCAGAGCGCAATCTGATCCTCCAAACCCGTCTGGTCCCGAATTTGGAAACTGCGCTGCCAATACGACGAAACTGGTGAAGGATTTGAAAAGAAGCAGTAATGCCGGAGGACATATTGATATGTGCATTCTCTACAACATTAAAAATAAAATTCATTCAAAATGTGACGACATCTGTTAATAATAAAGCTACGTCCATGTCTTCCTGTATTTCTGGAAGTTTTGTTGAAATATCCACAGCTAAATTGAGATGATTAAAAAAACGAATTTGGGTCGATTATACGTCCTTCAGAATGACGTTTAGATGTAGGAAATTTGCAGTGTACTCAAACATAATATGGGTAGAAAATAAAATAATATGGGTTCAGTAAAAGATATCCAGCGTCTCGCGAGAGCGGAGATACTTGTTAATTGGCCAATAGAAATTCTCTCTGAGAGACAATGGATGTTAATTTAACTGTCCCCTTGATTCCTTTTCCTTTTCATAAATGAAGTTTCACTCTTCAGTAATAATTGCTTGCGATAAAATTCCAAAGACGAAATTGTTCAAAAGCGCAAATCCCAAAAGTGCGTATGAGGATTTGCGTTTTTCCATGCGTAGGATGTGAGTATCTTTCATGTTTTAGTTTTATTTTCGCGATGTGCTGAGCATGATCTGGAAAGCACCTACTCGTGCCAAAGGAAACATCTTTATAGTAACGAAGAATTGAGGGTGCTCTGTCATTTTAGAGAGAGACTCTCGCAGCACAGGCCGCCATGCCGCGGGTGAAGCGGAGAGTGCCTGGAAAGACAAAACGCCTTCAATTTCGAGTATATGCAACACGGACATCCGTGGAGCTCGAATTGTTGCATCCAGGCGTTATTATGTGATTCGTTTAGTGTTCGTCGCATGCGATATGAAATGAGGACGTTTTTTGCTTTTGTTTCTCTTACACCTCACCGGCACAATAGCGTCGTCTCTTGTGCCGATAAAGTAAACTATTACTGATTTCAGTGGCGAAATTGTCAATTTTCTAAAAAAAATTCATTGATTGTTTAAATATATTACAACGTTGCTGGTCTTCGAAATCGCAAACAAATCAGGTATCTCGGTAAAATATTTAGAGTTTCGTTCAACCTGTTTTGACGAGTCGTCTATTATTATGATTTTCTTTTGGATTTTAGAAAAATACTTCGGACTTTTAAGTACAAAATTTTCGAAAAACATTCCTCGCGGCCGGCCTATAGTTCCTCACATGAAAGTTCTAATAAAGACGTTGACAAAAATCATGTTTATGTCTCTCTTTAGGATCCATGCACAATCGCCCGTTTTTGGGGTCTTCGAAATTAGGGTCAGTAAGAGGTTTTCTGCATCCTTAGGATGACGAAGTCCTAAGGATGGAAAAACCTTACACTGTCTCAAATTTCGAAGGCCCAAAAACGGGCAATTTTTGACCCCATTTTTGCAAGGTTCTTTCTTTTATTTAGATTTGAGGCGAGTCCCATGACTTTTCTCTTGATCTATTGGTCTGAGCATCTCTAACTATGAAGATTTCAGTTTTTGAAATTGGCACTTTTGGGTACCGGCCCAAAATTAGGCTAGGTTGGGTTCGGTTAGGGTAAGTTGGTTTCCCTGTTTGCGCTATTGGACGACTACTTATGTTCAAAATTTTCGCCTTTGATTTGTGCATTTTTGCGCTTATTGCCTACCATTTTTGCGCCTTTTTTTCGCCCCTTTTTTGTTTGTTTATTGGTTCTTGCACTTTCAGGAATTGCGCTTTTAGATGCAGATAGTATCTAGCGTAACAGGCGCGATGCGTAGTTTGAGGCTTACGGCACTGAACGTGATATTTCGTCGCGCCTCTGACGTAAGGGAGTATCTAGATTTCCACGTGAACCCTACCGTCCATATAACTCCATGCTTTCTGGGGCTCATGTGACAATCGAGATACGCCCTTACAGGAGCGACGATTTCAGCATCGCGGAGACCCAAGGGTCAAAGGAAGTGAGGTGGAAGGATCACGACTATGAGAGGCTCGGATAGGCGAGGGGGGAGGACGGATGGGGGGGGGCTGGGTTTACTTTCTCCAGAGACAGAATAATTGGCACACAACAAGCGTGCAAGGCCGTCCGAGGACGGAAGTGACCGCCGCACAGTGGATCGAGCCAATAAGAGAGGTCGGACAAAATTTGGAAACTTTAAACGCTTATAACTCTGTTCATACAAAATGTTGAGGTTTTAAAAGTGGCTCCATTGGTTTTGTCGTTAAATTTTCTTCCAGAACCATCCCTTAAAATTTAATATGTGACGAAATAAACATCAAAATTTGCAGATTTGGTCGCAAATGTCATGTCCGACCTCTCTGACTCACTCGATCCATTGTGCGCCGTCGCACATCGAGGTGTTTGCCAGCTGAGCACCTCAACACCGGGAGTCCAATTTTATTCATTTATTTCTTTCTCGCCAAATATTATTCCTTGAATTATTTCGCGGAGCTTTCACGCGGATCATAGCCCCCCAATTTTATCGACGGGTTGTGTGAGAAAGTTTGGCAAGATTCAAGTTGTTGGATGCAGCGGGGATTTTTCGATTTGACCGTTTGATCTTACGTAAAATTTTGCGAGAAACACACTTGCGCCACTGATTTGTCTTCAGGACTGATCCTTTTACTGACGTGCTGAGCAAAAATGCCGTACGGACATTCGGGAATTGGCAAAATTCCCCAGATAAAACATGCATTTTGAGGGAAGTTACGCATATTTTCCCTTGCAAATTGCAGGTATTCTATATTGAATTGCGGACAAAATTGTCTGAAAAATTGAGAGGGAAATGAGAACTACTTTTTTCAATACTCCGTATTCTATCGAGGTAAATTTGGCAACGTCTGATAGTCCGTTCACCGTTGTGTTTTAGCACGGCAGTTTACATGCAAAATAAAATGGATAAATTCAAGGCCGAGAAATAAGAGCACCCCTGCTTTGGAGGAGTTACATTCATCGATGCGCGATTGATTTTCAGCTCCTATTTTTGGCGTGTGAAGTGCGCTTCACTTTGAATCGGGGAATTTAACTCCAGATGTGGAAATGGCCGCTCTTAAAGAGCGCTCGAGTATTCACTGTGTTTGACGCAATGGGTGAAGTATTCATGCAGTCTTGTAGGCGCTATGCGTTTCACGCCGCCCGCTGCTGACCGCAGCGACCGCGCTGTCTTTGACGCAATGCGTGAAGTATTCATGCAGTCTTGTAGGCGCTAATATGTGTTACATGCTGCCCGCCGCGCCGAGGGTTTGTCCTTTTCATCTCAAGTCCTCCTCGTCATTCCTCTCTGCGCTGAGCTCCAGGCCAAATTTCGTGTTTAGTTCCTCCCTTAACTCGACGAATTGAAGATGCTATCTCTTGTATCACCGAAAAACGACAAAATTAGAAATTACTATACTCTCAGGAAAGAGAAATTTTGTCCCCTTTTCTCATTGATAATTTTTTTCTCTGAATCCAATTTTTTTATACCGACATTTAAAAAAATTGCAAAATTTGCCGCCCCCTAAATTTGCCGCCATGGGCCGCGGCCCATGTGGCCACCCCCTTAATCCGACCCTGGCATGGAGACGCATTGCCTCACTTACAAATGAGTTGAATTCAGAAAATGTTCGGTGCGTTCACCGTAATCTCTGCGTGCAGGTATGTATCCTGAACCTTAAGCTCGTCTGTCTGTACTAGTCCATCAGAACGCATCCACTCTGATAACCTCGTTAGGGGCCATCCATAAATTACGAAAGGCTCTTAGGGGGGAAGGGGGGTCTCTGACAGCCTTACGAGGGGGAGAAGGTGGGGTAAGGCTGAGCCTTACGAAAGCTTTCCGGTCTACCTATACTTAAAGAAAATACAAAAACCATTTTTCGTCAAGTTGATAACAAAATTCAAGATGAAATAGAGGAGATCAGCACATCACCGATGGCTGACCGATCGGACCATGCTCGTGTCATTTCTCTTGATTCCCACCTCTCCATTCCGAGGGATGATGAGTAGTGACTTCATCCTAATGTCAACTTTACACTTTTAACTATTCCAAAGACAAAAAAACATCTTCAATTTTGCTCCACATATTAATGTTTATTAAACTAATTGTATCATAAGTATTTCCTATGAACGTAATTCAAAAATTTAGTTTTATTATTAGTAAAAATTTTGGCCCAAAATTTCATTGTTTTTTTTTTTTAGAAGAAAACGCAATGCTTATTATTAGATCTGCGATAATTTTGAAGAAAGGGGGGAGGATCAGTGGAACCTTACGTAATTTTTAGAAGGGGGGTAAGGGATGCCTTACGGTGCCTTACGAGGGGAGAGGGGGGTCTAAAAATGGGAAAAAGTGCCTTACGTAATTTACGGATGGCCCCTTATGAAAATGCAAAACGCACATGGAAGCAGGAAACGGAACCTGCTCCATGTCGGGCGAGCTGGCAACTCGGGCCGGGATGAAAACGAAAGTGCGTTGCCGATGGACTTGTTCCGACGAAAAGAATAAATCTGGTCCTGTAAAGGGCAAGCGTCTCGTCTCGTCGCGTCGCGTCGCGGCGCTCCCCCCCCCCCCCCCCCNTCGAGTCGCTGCTCCTTATCACGAGCGGCACGCGTATCGGAGCACGCGCCAAATCGCGAACTTGGAACCGAAACGCATGATCAACACCAACATCGGGACGCATGCCTGCTCCATTGGGTCGCGAAGAAGAACGTCGCGGATTCTTTTAATCTTCACTCGCGACGCAAGGAGAAGGGGCAGGTCCGACCTGGTGGCTTATGGACATGACTACCAACGAGGTTAATAGAGAGGAGACGCACTGGAATTGGAGCTTTGTTCCACGCGTAGAGGATCGATGATCAAAGTGCGAAACTACGTATCTCCATATGGTGATGTTTCAAAACAGCTTCTGTTTTCTTTATGCTACATTTTTGGCCGAAACGATGTATGGCTGTCGCCAGTGGCATTTCAATCTGCATCCATCAAATGCCTTGCAAGGGAACTGCGTGAGGGGGACGAGGGGGGTCGAGGGGTCGAAGGTGTCGAGGGGCGTCGATGGGGATTTAGAGGGACGGGGGGCAAGGGGGGCGAAGGGGGATGAGGGATGATGAGGGGCGGATGCTGCACTGACGCACAATCC